TTTCTCCTTTTCCCTTGGGGGCTATTTGACTTGCTACTTACCTCATCCATAAGGGAGAATCAGAAATGTGTACACAAGTACAACTAAAGGTAAACATAAAGTCCAAGTAATTTGAGTTTATTGTTTTTAGTATCCTTATCCTGCCTGAAGGGGTTCTTTTCCTGTTTCAGGGAGTATTTCCAAGTTATCCATTTTAAGCAGGTCATTCTAAGGATTTTTCTGGTGGGAGTGGTATTAGAGGAATGACTGAGACCAGCTTAAGTTCCTTCACCTCTTAGCGATGTTTGTATTGTAATTAGATTTGACCCAACACCCCCATTTTATAGATGAAGATATGGAGGCTTTGAAAGGATAAGTTCCCAGGGTAAACTCTGGAAAACAGAAAAAACCTTTGAAACCAAAGACTGAATCTCCCAACGGTGGTATTTTAAGCCCTGAGAAACCAAGATGATGTGTGTGTGTTTGTGAGTGTGTGTATGTGTGTTTCATTTTGTGTGAATGGTGAGAACAGGTGAAAACATATAGGGGAATTTCCAGAATGTCATATAAAAATTAGAGCTGAAAGAAACACTTAAAAGCAAGTTGTTTTAGTTATCTAGTGCTGCAATAAAAGGAATACCACAAGTGGGTGACTTTAACAAACAGAAATTTATTTTCTCACAGTTTAGGAGGCTAGAAGTCTGAATTCAGGATGCCAGTTCTAGGGGAAGGATTTCTCACTCTGTATGCTCTGGAGGAAGGTCCTATCACTTCGAGCTTCTGCTCCTGGGCAATCCACATGTGGCTTGGCATCTCTCTTCCCCCATCTCTGTTTCTCTCACTTGCTTGTTTAATCTCTTTTATATCTCAAAAGAGGTTGACTGAAGACACACCCTACACTAATCCTGCCTCATTAACATAACAATACCACCCATTCACAGATGAGATTATAACCACAGGCATGGAGGTTAGGAATTACAACACGTATTTTTGGAAACACAATTCAATTCATAACACAAGTCAAATCCCCAAATGAAATAGCAGAGGTCCATACTGGTGAAGTGACTTAGCCAAAAATTACACAGCTATTTAATGGCAGAATTAGATCAAACTAGAACTACAGGTCTCATTTCCCAATTTAATGCTTCTTTTACTACCAAATCGTTAAATTGGCTCTGAAGGCACACAGTGAGGGACTGGTTTGCTTTGCATTGACACTCGTACTTGAAGATTCAATGCTTATATGCCCTGGTCTCCCTCTTCCCTCCTCAGTAACACCTATTGATGTCCCTCCTAAGTAGCACCTTCAGACATGAATATATAAGGAATCAACCCTACCTGAGAAGCTAAACTTAAGTTATCTAAAGTCTCCATAGACTAAATATTCTAACAACTCCTTACTTCTTTATTGTTACCAGGGTTACAGTCACTCTGTTGTAATTTTTTACAGCTTTATTAGGGCATAATTAAGATAAAATAAACTGTACATATTTAAAGTGTAAAGGTTGATGAGTTTTGATATATATATATATATATATATATACATCACCACAATTAAAACAATAAACATATTCATCACCCTGAAAAGTTTCCTCTTGCCCCTTTGTAATATATCCCTCTCTTCCACCCCCTTCTCCCTCCCCACTCCCCCACTGTCCTCTACTCCCTTCTTTACTTAACTTTGGTAGTGTTAAACTATTCTAAACCAGAAAAGAATCCAGATTCTCTAGAACTGAGCCAAGGGTGGAAAATCCCTTTTGCCCTTACTTCATTCTTCCTTTGAAAAGAAGTTGGACCCTCTCAAAACCTTTCCCTGAAGCTGCACACAAACAACTCCCAGACAAGATCAAGGGTCTTAAGAAAAGATCCACGAGTTTGGAACACTTGAAAAATTGCAAGGAGGATTCTACAGCCTCCAAATGGCTTGAAGATAAAGAAGGATTTGAAATGAAAATATGTTTCTTAAGGAAACACTTGTTCTATTATAAAACAGCATAAATTTGAAAAGTAATGAAAAGAAGAAAATCCCCCATAATCTCACCACCTTAACTGAACACTGGCAGTCAGTGTTGTTTTTATTCCTGTCTCCTCCCCTACAAGAAAAAAAATTCTTTACTGAAACCTACTTTTAATGTGACTCTTGACTTTTCTCTACACCGTGCATCACACACCACAATCTAGCCATACAGGCATGGGGTGTATATTTTTTCTCAAGTTTCAGAGAAAGAATCAACATGTCTTTTTCAAGGAAGTGGCTATAATGTGCTATTAAGAACAAAAGTTTCATATTGTGGCTCTGTAGGCTATGGAGAATCATAATACATACATACATACATATATATGTGTGTATATATATATATATATATAAGCCTTGGTGGTGTAGTGGTTAAGAACTCGGCTGCTAACCAAAAAGGTCGGCAGTTCAAATTCACCAGCTGCTCCTTGGAAACCCAATGGGGCAGTTCTACAATGTTGTATAGGGTCAGTATGAGTGGGAATCTACTCAACAGCAATGGGTTTGGTTATATATATATACATATGTATATATGTATATATATATAATGGAGACGTCTCTTCTCAGTGGAACAAAAGTTTACTGCAGGCAAGAGCAACTTCTGGAAAAATGCAACTGCTATAGCAAAAGGTATACCTTTGGGGTAGTGAATGTTAGAGATGAGGACACTAAGTTCTGAGCATACATAGACACGTACACTCAGAACTTAGCTTCCTCAACTCTAACACCCCTCCCCCTACTAGATTTAAAGGATCCATTTTAATACTGTTTTTCTATGTTCAGCACTCCAGATGGCCTGTCAGACAATCAGCATGCTATGTAGCCCACCCCGTATTTATTGGAGGCAATGAGGTGTGGTGGAATATGTCCTGGCCTGGTAATCAAGAAACCCCTCCACAGTGCCTGTCACAGAGGAAAAACCAAACCAAACCCATCGCCATCGATTGTAGCTCATAGCAAGCCTATACGACAGAACTGCCCTATAGGGTTTCCAAGGAGCAACTGGTGGATTTGAACTGCTGACCTTTTTGGTTAGCCACCAAGCTCTTAATCACTGCTCTACCAGGGCTCCTGTCACAGAGTAGGCACTCAATAATATTCATTGAATTGAATCCGTGGATCTGAGTTCTAGTCCTACCTAGGTTTTACCATTAACTTACTGAAATGTCAGTAACTTTCTGAAGAGAAAGGGAATTTAAATTTATCTAGTCTACCCTGTCACTATCCCCCAATATATAGACCTGGGCTAAAAGAAAGAAGTTAGTTTCCCAAAGATACTTATGCCCCTTTAGTCTCTAGTTCCTTAAAATACAAAATGAGGATAACAGTCCTAGCCTATCTCAAAGGATATTGGGCCAAATAATGTAACAGTTATGACAGTACATTGAAAAATATAAAATGTCTCACACAATAAGGCATTATCAGGATTATTACTAGAGGCCCCAAATCCACTGACTGAGAGGGTAAGTAACCTGGAAAACAAAGGCTGCATTCCTATGTGGTAATTACTCAACTAGTTGGTATTTAGGGAGCTGTGTGCAACTTCAATGGCATAACCAAATAAATAGGGTGATGGTGTTCTGAGTTTGGTCCTATCACTAGAGACTAAAGACGATCCTTCTTATGTAGCTAGGAGTTCTCATCAGTATTTACGATTGCTTTGCTATATGTCTTTGGAAAGTGACCTAGATAGTTGACACCTCAGCTTCCCTATCAGTAAAATGAGCCATTGATACCTTCCTCATAAATGTGTTGTGAAGATACATGAAGAATATAATTCCAAGAGTCTGATAAAAGATGGAAGGATTTTTCCCTTAAATCTTTTCAGGACTAAATGAGGTACCCTCAGGAGAGGTAGTAGAAAGTAAAGCCTCTGTCTGATATTTTCACTAGCAAAGGGAATATAACTTTCTTACTCCTAACCCAAAGACAGGTAATAGTTGTGCTCAAAATTCTAATTTTCTTAAGAAATAAGAGGATACATCGTGACAAGGAAAGTTGTGCTCTGATTGCTTTCATATTTTAATCAACCCTTCCTTTAAACCATCTAAATTTAAAATGATTCAGAGCCCAGTCTTTGGCCACTTATATAAGCAAATGGTATACTGGACTAACACCAAAGTCTCCTGGACTAACACCAAAATCTCCAGGCAACCCTGCTCACTGCAGCTCCTTTCCTTAGCCAAGTTGTGTAGTTGTAACACACAAACTGCAGCTCCTTGGGCCACACTGCACTGACATGACATGATGTGGGTAAAGCAGACAGGTTGAAAGGTGATGGCAGGGAGGGTCTTTGTGCTTATGTAAATCAGACTGGCACTGAACTATAACAGTAATGGGAGTGGAAAGGCAGAAGATAAGGAGGGTTTATTCTGTCTGCGGGAGATCTGCTTTTCTAATGACTCAGCCAAGATCACCTGAATTGTCCTAGTCTGATTTCATTATTTTGGCAAGATTTGGAACTGACACTGCAGGTTGGAAGCTATAAAATAAAATGATTGATAGAAAACAAATACGATCGAGGGACAAAATTAGTCTTTTTTATTTTATTATCAAGTGACATGGGATTCAGAATCACCTCTTGATGATGATTTCTTAAACATTTATTTTGTTATGAAAAACACTCGACAATGTAACTAGAGAGAGAGAAATTTTTGCTTGCCTTCTCCCCATCCTCCAAAGATAGCATAAAAGAACACACCCAGCATCAAATAACAGAAGCACAAACACACATTACACAAATGTACCTCCTGGCAGAATTGCCTTTTACAATCTGTTCACAAGCACATTTGTGAAATTATGAACAGGGCTGTGCTTCTAGCCTTTATTTATATACCTTACCACTAACATTTCGGAGTGACTGACATAAAGCATAGCACATAACAGGAGCTTTTTTTGGGGATAATTTCTAACAGTAAGAGTCCCCTGAATTATCTTCAATCCATTACCCATCCACTTGTTCTGAATACTGCCTTTCAAGGGATTACATCCTGCCTCAGCTCCCCTGCTGATACAGACTAAAATGACCCTGCTAAAGAAAGGGTGCTTTCCATTTCTTTTTGCCTCTCTTTCATTCAGAGATTCTGACCTGTTTTATCTCGATAGGCTGAAATCCACGGACAGCAGATGGGGTGGTGAAAAAAGTGTTAGGCAGTTCCCCAGGACTGATGGACCCAGAGTCACTTTGCACGGAGCCTCCACTGTTCTCAAACTGGGAAATTTTCTTCTTGATCATCTTTCTCTCCTTGGCTCTGCGATTCTGAAACCAGATTTTCACCTGAAATACAATATGGCTTTGGATTTAATGGGGCAACATACTAGATGCAGTTGACAAAGTTATTGCTGATATTGTACAGGGACTTTAACATTTACAAAGCCCTTTTACATGCATCACTTCATTTGAGCCTCACAATGACCTTGTGAAGTATACCAATTAAACAGATTTTTTTTTAAAAAAAACTGAAGCTCAGAGAGGGCAAGTATCTGGCATGAGATGGACCTGAGATCAAGTCCAGGACTTCATACTCTGAATGCAGTGCTCTTTATATTACACCTCACCCACTACATCTGTTGCACTGGTAGAAGGAAATAATAACAGAATGACAGATGCTGAAGAGTGGTGATGAGAGGAGAATGGAGATATTTAAATTGCAAAGGTGTTTATGATTAGTCATTAAAAAGAACTTCCTAACAGTAAGGTAAGGAGCCCTGGTGGCCTGGTGGCACAGTGGTTAAACACTTGGCTGCTAACTGAAAGGTCGGCCGTTCAAATCCAACAGCCACTCCGCAGAAGAAAGATGTGGCATTCTGCTCCTGTGAAGAGTCAAAAAATCAAACTCATTGCCTTTGAGTAGATTCTGACTCATAGCAACCCTATAGGACAGAGTAGAACTGTTGGAAACCCTATGGGGCAGTTTTACTCTGTTGTATAGTGTCGCTATCAGTTGGAATTGACTCGACGGCAAAGAACAACAACAGTAGTAAGATTAATGAAAAATAGAACTGAGTGAGCAAGAGTGATGAAACACTATCTCTTGTTGGAGATAAAGATCAAAGTGACACCGATGTGCAATTATACATGGTTGAATTGCAAGATGCGTGTGATGAGGCAATACATTAATAAACCTTAAACTCTAGAAACTATGAGTCCAGGATTACTTCTAGACTTAAGTTAAAGAACATCAGGAAGTTATGTAATGTCAAAGTCTGGATGAATGGAAACCGTGATCTTTGTTATGATTTAATATGCATTGAGTACTCACAGTGAGCTCAATTGGGGACAGGCATCATATGATTGTGTACATGGTAGAAATTTAAATTTCCTACCCTGAATGACAGAAAAAAAAACTTGATTCAGGTAGCAGCAATGTTATTCAGTTAGTGAATGGGATTTGCGTTCTCTTGTTCGACTGATGTGAACCAGAGAACTGCCTTGTTTGCCAAATCTCCACTTCACACATTGGTTGTGACTATTTGAGGAACCAGATCAAGGTTTTGACTTGATGGATCGATTCTATTGGAGTTGTAATCTCCCTCCACCTCCTATGTCCCAACCCATTATTTCCACACCCACATGGTGTGCATTACATTCAACTGTTAACAAACCCACAAACCAATGAGACTAATCTGGGAGGTGCAGTAGGATGAATGTGGGCTTCAGGAAAACTTGGAGAGTGTTTCCTTTGTTTTGCTTACAACCACTCCTACTTACAGACTACCCTAAAACCTCAGCCTATTTAAATGACTATATAGGACACATTAGATATGTTTCTGGTGTACCTGTCTCTCAGAAAGGCCCAGGTTGACTGCCAGCTCTGATTTCCTCTGGATGGTGATATATCTATTGCAGTGGAATTCCTTCTCTAGCTCCAGCCTTTGATGATCTGTGTAAACAACACGATACTTTTCTTTTGTCCTGGTTTTGCCTGTTAGGGGAGAAAGCAGTGTATTTAATCTTATTCTGCTTCTTCGGTCATTGTTTTGGTTAAAGGAATCATGGTCACTCTTCCCATCCTCATCTCTTACTTTAAAATATAAAGTAAGTACATTTTTGAGTCAAACATGTCATAAGTACATTTCTCTAGTAAATAATTTCTCATCTATGGTTCTGATATATATTTATAAACATAAAACCAACATCCATCTAATGTTTTTTGTAAAATGATCAGTCAAATCACAATGACTCCACTATTGACCTACTGTCATACCAAAACATTTTAAACACTTAACCTGCTATTTTGACTCCCTTCCCACTCATATGAGAACAGCATTGGTAGTAGTTATAACATCCACTATACATATACTTTCCTTTACATTTTATGCAGTCTGTCCGTTCATACTGTTTCCTATCAAACTTCTTATGTACCCTTCTGAATTGTGCGGCCCATATCTTATCCTCATTTTACAGATAAGGAAACTGAGGCTCAATGTAGATAAGTGACTTTGTGTTCGTAAGCTGAGGAGTGGGGACCCAAACACATACCTATTGACTACCAATATGATGTGCTAAATATTATCCCCAGTTAAACATGCTGGAAGCATAAGAATGGCCCAAGTGTGGCAAACTGTTCTGTGATTTTGACATTAATAGTTATGTTTACATCCTAGAGATAATTTGGTTTAAATAATGATTTAAAAAGAAAACGTTTGTCACTTAGCAGGTTCTGTTCTAGAATATCCCCTGTTACCTATTGGAAAACTTAGTTTTTAGTGTGTGAGTCTAAAATAAATTTTTATTCTCAAGTGAATAGTGACTGGGGGAAGGAGAGGGAGTGATGACTTAAGCAGAATAACATGAGTATTCCATGCCCATTGAAAGGATATCCAAACATTTGCTTTGTGTTACAACATTTAAGTAATTTCTCATGCCCTCTTTCAAATAGAGCCTTATTCCTCCTTTCAAATTTTCTAAAGGAGATTAGGAAGTTTCCCTTTCTCTTAAATTTCTCTAACCCCCTCCAGGCTCTTCCTCCTCTTCTCTATGGCTTTTGGTAAACTTCTTCTGATCTTTCCTGGTTGTTTTTGATGTGAGGTTTTTTTTTTTTGGGGGGGGTGCGATCTGTAGGACAAAGACTCCTTTAAAGTAGTTCCCTAAACTCCATTGAGGTGTTAAGATGCAGCACAAACCTAACAAAGGAGCTACACAACATCAGATCCCTGAACCCTCTTTACATTCAGGAACACCAGCCAATTGGTTTGGAATTTACAAGCCCTAAACAAATGTCAGACACCCTTTCATCTCCAGGAAAGAAAGAAAAGGGACATGAATGTAGAAACAAATTCTAGATGAGAGATATGTCTTAGCATTAAATTAAATGGCTGGATAACATAGACTAATGAACTAAACAAAACGTTTCCCCCTGAAAATGGAAAATAATGAGCTCCAGTCAATTAACCTGCCTCAAAGGCCCAAATTTTGGGCTGATTTTCTGAATCCAAACAGAAATCCAGAAAACCAGCAATCTGGCTTTTGGTATGTTACAAAGACAGAATGTATATTTGAGGTCAAATGAAAACTTTGAGGTTTAATTTATTTCCAGAACCTCAAATCTTGGGATCAAACTATATTTTTGAACAGACGTTTCCTAAAACCCTTCCTAAACCCAAAGTGGCTGAGTGTTTAAATTCTAACTTAAGAGAGAGGTTAAAATACAACTTTTGTGTGTCTGTGTTTTCTTCTCTTTGATAATTAGTAAATATAACTAGACTTCAAGAACTCTGGAAAGCCTGTGGTCCTTCCCCACCCCCATTGGTCATAAATTCCCCTCTTGCATTTTCTTCTAAGGACAATAAAGTCAAGACCAGGCCTCTTTATTTGCCATGAAAATCCTCACCCTTTCCGGCAATATAACCTCTGAAGAAAGGAGGGTTGAGGAAGAGCCCAGCTGCATATCAAAGCCACATGAAGTGTTAAAAAAGGTCTGTTGCCTCTTTCTGACAGATAAGGCCTCAAACCCCAAAAAGATGTAGCTTAGGTGAAAATATTGACTGTACAGTTTACAAAGAGAAATGAATTCACATTTCCTGGTGCTCTCCTTGTGGCCCTCCCCTGAACTCTCTCTACCCCACTTCCCTCCTTACTGCCTCTTCTGCTTAGATGATGAGATCAGATTGGATGGGGTTTGGAAGTTTTCTGGTACAACATAATGTCCATATTCCTATACCCCAGCATCGCTTTTATTGTTCAAGCTATTCTCTTCTCCTAGAGAATATGACATTTCCGAGAGTGACAGACTTCCCTAAAACTTCAGCCTATTGAAATGACTATATGGGACATATTAGATGGACTTCTGGTATACCTATCTCTCAGAAAGGCCACTCGACAACTATTGTGAGTTAATTTAGGAAAGTAACAAAGCCTAAAACAGATATATTAAGGGGCTGTTCCCATCCTCTGTGGTGGGGATTTCATTACCCACCCCCAAAAAGAGCCGAGCAAACCTCCCTAGTTCAAAATGAATAGAGTCCTTCTCATTACCCAGGAAACAGTATCCCCACAGAGTTTGCCAAAAAAAAAAATGCCATCATATGTGATGACTTATTATCACCCTGACTGAAATTAAAATGATGCTCACTTGAGAAACTGGCTGAGGAGGTATTGTTAAGCAGAAAAGCACCCTCCAAACTTAAGGGTTATGATGATGATGACAATGGGAGTAAAGATGATGAAAAATTTTTTCTCTAAGGAGTACTGTGCAATTGGCCCTTCCATGACATTTTTTGTCTCATGGTAATCCTTTTTCTTTTAGCTAAAAGCATCAAAATTCATTCAAAAAAATTTTCAAGGAAACGATCAAAACTAAAGGAGACAATGATAAGCCTCAAGAACTATTAAGCAATTGATTTTATGAAGTGTCCTAATTGAATAAAGCCTTTTAAGCATAACTTCCTCAGTGTTTTGTCCAGTGGCTTAAACAGAATTAATCAAAATCACATCCTCTTTCCCTCTCTCCTACCCCTAACAAGAAAACCTCTCTCCAGACCTGCTTAGGTTACCACGTTGCCAATAATCATCCAGGGCCAAACCTCCAGATAAAAGAAAAGATGAAAAAATACTACCTAGTTGTAATGTAATGAGAATATTTAAAATATGAAAATACTTTTTTTCACAGATAATTTTCTGTCAGACTCCTTTTCATATAATCTTTAAAATGAGATATGTATTAGAATAGGCCATGTAAGGAACTGAGTGGAAATAAAAATATCTCCTTTTTTAATCAGATTGCCTAAGGGACAGTAATTTACTCTATGTGTTGTCCCCTTTCTTTCATTAGAAAATCAAATGCTATAATGGTCACTGTGACATGTTTTCTTATTGTCTCCTAGTATGTATGTATTTTTCTTTAACCTAAGGCTATTTGAAACATCATTCAGTAATGGAAAGAGCTTTCATTTGTTTATCTTAGCCAGAGCAGGGTTACATCCATTTTGCAGTTCATCTGTGTTCTTCTCATCCATAAACCGTGTGTTGTCCCACAATACTACAGGGCGAAGTGGAAAATTTAGGAGGATCTAATGCATTTATTTATTTAATAAATATTTAACGCATTATGTCCTAAGCATATAAATGGGTGCATTTTGGTCAGGAATGGTCCACTGAGGTGATCAGCTTAGTTTTTATGTTGTGAGGTTCATAATCTGAGTTCCATGTAAGGGCTTCCTGACTCTCCCAAAATTATTCAAAAAAGGACTTGTGTGTGCACATGCAAGTGTGCTTTTGTGCAGTTTTCTGGGAGAAGAGTCCATATTTTCATCATATTCTTAAATATGCACCTTCTGCTACAAGAATATAACAAGGGGGTCATTTAATTTATAAGACATTAAAATAAAAAAAATGAATTGAATAAAGCCTCATCTATAAGATAGGCTGCCAGGAGTCCAGGGTGTCCCATTCAACTTTAAATTTCTCATAGAAGTTGGAGAGAATATCTTGCGAATATGGCATTGTAAAGCCAGGTTTGAGGGCTTTAGATAATGATGAAGAGGCTCCAAACTAAGAAGCCCCCTCTAAAATCCTCCTGGCACCTAGAGACAGGCTCCAGCTTATTAAAGCAAATGCAAACGGAATACTTTTAAGCATAGAAAGATGTTATATTTTCCCTCCTAACTGAACATTTCTTTCATTTTACTCTTTTTTTTTTCATTTTTCTCTCTTCCAAACAACATATCAATGACTTTCCCCTTTTAAAATGTTTCAAAACATAATCCTGGACTGGGAGCAGCTACTTTTCTGGCATTTGTGTCTTCTGATTGTTAGGGCTTAGTGAATGGATGTTATTTACAAACCCTAAGATTAGATGTAATAACAGGTCTGGGAGTGCCCCACCCTAACCTTATTTTCTATCCTACTTAGCTGGCCTACTCACCCACATTTCAAAAAAGAAAAATGCATATTTACTCCAAAAAATCTTTAAAACCAAGGATTTAAGCTCTGCTTTTAACTAGGATTGCTACCCTAGCAATATCTTAATCAACTGGAACTGCCTCCTCCTGGTCAAGTCCTCCTGATGGTTAGAGTTGCTTTTTTTGAGGGGATAAAAATGCAGAACTGTGAACAGGATCATAATCATTGCAGACAAACACTATTTAAATGTCGTTTCTTTCCCAGAGGGATGAAAGAGATGGAGTCGAATTTTGCTAATATTTTCTAATGACGGGAGCGACAGGTTGGAATAATAAGAATGTGATAAAAGAACAACTACAGCTGAAAACAAACATACCCCTCCACCATCCAAGGTTAAAGCCAATCTCCCACTCCCTGCACCCCAGGCTCCCAGCAGCCACCCACTGACTTGCTGGAAGGAGCTCAAGGGTTGGCTGTAGTGGATGGCCTACCTGAGCGCTGTCGAAGCCCTCCTGCCCGGACAGTGATGAAGGATTTAACTACCTACTAGTGTCAGGGTTGATATTCTTGCAGCTCATTGGGTGTTTAAGGTCGAGTAGCGTATTATGTGCCAGCGCTGCGGTGGAGCCTTCTCACTAGCCTCAGCGTTTCCGTTGGCGGAAAGGACATTGGAAGAAAGCAACGGGTTTGAGGTAAACTCGCCTCTGTCAACTTTGTGGGTGAAGGAAGCTGGTACTTTTGGTTGAGAGGTCAGGGTGATGAAGCTCCTTTTCAGTCAAGTCCTTTGTAGTTAAACTGGAGCACTGGTGCTAACTAAGCACCGTGCACCTAAGTTGAGTATCACCAGCTTTTGGGGAGAGCTGGCCCGCCCAGATGGAGAAGGGTTTGGAAATGGAACGGGCAAGCATCAGTGGAGACTATGAGCATAGAGACACCACGGCAATTTTCTTGCCTCATTCTTCTGTTGCGTCTGTTTTCCCGTCTGGGAAACTACAGAGGCCTATCAACTCGTCCACTGTCCACGAGCTAGCTCCCTTGATTGATCAGGGAATGGCTAAAACTATCCCAGGGTCGATTTAGTTCCAAACGCCGCATTGAGATGGCTTTGAACTGAGATTCACGCGAGGTAGCTTCCTAATGGGCAGAGGTGGCAGTGGAAAGGTGGGGCGGGAATCCAGCCTCACAGGGGCCTCCTCAGCTAAGTTGTCCAGGAACAGTCCTAGGTAGGAGTAGGAGGACTGGCAGGCCAAGGAAAGTGGAGGAGAAGGAAAGGAAGGAAAGCTGTGAGGGCATTGGAATCTATTACTCACCGGTCACCTGCACGGTCTTGCGCATCCACGCATAAGGGCTGTGCCGGTTCCTGCTTGGGGAACTGGCGTCAGCGGTCCCCACGTCGATGGGGATCAGTGTCCCGTCGGCTGGGGCGGGCAGGCTGCCGCCGCTGTTTCCGCCACCCGCTGGGCCCAGGTTGCAGTACTCAGGCAGGCCGAAAGCGACTGGGCTAGGGGTCAAGTCGTTCGTGGGCACCGCACCCATTGTATTTGATAGCCCAGAGTACGCGCTCCAGTCTTCCCGGGGGAGACTGTATGGTAAGCCCCAGGCTCCTAGCGACGGCCCTTGGAGATCCATGTTGGGCATGTGGGGATACCCCATGTAGTGCGCATACGCGGCGGCCGCCCCGAAGTTGGGAGCTGGCAGGGGACTCCCACTGCCCCCAGTGCCAGCCCCGTCAACGCTGCCGTCCCCCCCGGGGCTCCTGAGTGTGCCCGGGTACATGCCTTCTTCTTTCTCTAAAAGGCTGCTTCCGTACATGATGCCTTGGGTAGGAAGAAGGAGCTCCCTAAGCCATCCTGATGTCCCTGCAAGGCCCCGACCCAAGTTCCGGAAGCAGCCGCAAATCAGTCAGTCCCTAGCTGTGCTGCAAACTCCTCTGCTCCCCTCCGACTGCTCCATCCCGCGTTTCTTACCCTGAAGGCTTCCAGGTAACTGGTAGCCCTGTATAGATGGGCCACCAATAGCTGGGCTGACGTCAAGGGGCTCCATGCCTTTACATAACATTTGCATTCAAATGAAGGGCCATTCCACTTTCACAGGGACTTGTTCAAGCTTTGCTCCCTCTTCCTGAGCTTCCTGGCCTGCGTATTTCATCTTTCTTGCTTCTTTTCTTTTAGTCTCCATAGCACCAGTCCTGTGCTTTTGGAGAAGGGAGCTTCTTCAGCAATTTCTGACCAACTCCCTCTAACGTGATGTGGATACATGCAGAAGCAGGGCCAAGTCCTGTTCTCTGCCATTCCGTCCTTCCCAGGGACCTCTACCCTCTTGCTGATCTTCCCAGCCTAGTTGGCCTCTGCAGTCTTCCCTCTGCCCACATTCCCTGGCAGGAGTATACATATATTGCACTTGCCCATGATGCCACTGAAAAAGGTTTTCCTTTCTCCTCACTGCTCCCTCCCTGAGAATTCATTCCACCACTATATATTGAATGCCTACTGAGTGCCAGGCACTCTTGCAGACACCAGGGATACAACAGCTGACAAGAGACAAAAATTCCTGCTCTGCCCTCCTAAGGTTACATTCCAGGATGCATTAATTGGATGTTTTACAAATACGCAGGAATTTAAGAAAGATGAAAGGCGTAGGTTATGAAAAAAGGAAGTAGGGAGGGAGAAGAACAAGTGGGTAGTGGGCTCTCCTATTTTTCATGTCTGTTCACTAGTCTCAGGGGCCTCTTTCCGCTAGGTACGCCTTCTGCTCCAAAGCCAGTGCCTCAAGGGGCCAGAACTCCTGCAGTCTCAAATCCAAGGCAGCTGCAGATTCCAACTTGCTTTCAGACTTGAGATTTACTTTTTGTAAAGCCCCAGTTGTTGACAAAGGTATAGGCTTGCCAGTATATACATGCCGGTGAACTCAAGAACTTGCCTCAAGTAACCAGGTCCCCTCCTGAGCACAAAACCTACCATCACGCTCCCCACAGGCTGCTCCCTACCCAGGGAATGTGCTCCTCTACAAAGTCCAACTCAACTTGGCCTCCCCACTTTGCTAATCCCTCTCTGGCTTTCGGAAAGTCACTTCACCTCTGCAAGTTTCAGGATTTCTTTCCTGTGTGAAATAGGGATCCTAACAATATCTACATTATAAGGCAGGATTTACTCAGAAGATGTATGCAAACTGCTTAACTTAGTGTTTGATACACAGTGTGAGACCACTGTATTTATTAACTCACTCAACAAATATATTTTGTTCTATGCATGGAAATATCAGTAGTGAACAAAACAGATGAAGCCTCTGATCGTATCAAGGTTATATTTTAGTGGAGACAGACACTAACAAATAATTAAATTATATAATATGTCAGACAGTGATCAATGCTGTGAAGAAAAAGAAAGCAGGGAAGGAGGATAAGGAATGATGAGGGGTGTTACACTTTTAAATGAAGTGGTCTCGGAGGGCCTCACTGAGAAATGGCATTTGAGTAAAAGTCTGAAAGAGGTGAGGGTGTGAGCTATGAGGAGAGAGGATCCAGGCAGAGGGAAGAGCAAGTGAAAAGAGAATGCCTGTCTTGTAATGGGGAAACAGTGAGGAAGACAGTGTGGCTGAAGAGTAGATGAGGTTCAAAAGCTAAGGGACTGGAGGCCATTGTAAAGATTCTAGTTTTTTCTCTAAGTGAGGTGGGGCTTTGAGGGTTTTGAACAGAAGAGACATGATTTGATTTAAGTTTTAAAAGCATCACCCTGGCTCTTGGATTAAGAATAGACTTTAAGAGGGCAAAATAGAATCAGGCAGACCAATTAAAATACTCTTATAATAACCCAGTTGAAATATTATGGGAACTCCTCCATCGTAGTGGCAGCAGAGGGAGCATGACTGGATTCTGGGAATATTTTAAAGCCTGCTTTGGAGAAGAATGAGAAGGAAAAGAAGTAATTGGACAGCAAAGAGTAATTAAAGTCTGGTGCTGGGGAGAAGGAACCAAGGGGCATGGGAAGTAAAATAACTATAAAACCCAAACTAAACCCACTGCCATCACGTCAATTTCGACTCATAGCAACCCCAAGGGACAGAGTAGAACTGCACCATAGGGTTTCCAAGGAGCAGCTGGTGGATTTAAACTGATGACCTTTTGGTTAACAGTCGAGCTCTTAACCACTGTGCCACCAGGGCTGCAAAAACTATAGGCAATTTTAAAAACATGATCTCAAAGTTTACAATAGCCCTATGAGTTATTTATTATTGTACTAATTTTAAAGATGACGAAACTGAGGCTCAAAGAGGTGACATGACTATTTAAATGCATACAGCTGGTGTGTGGTGAAGCTGGGTTCCAAACCTAGGCCACCCTGACTGCAAAGTACATGTTCTTAAATTGGTACCGGTCTAAATGTACAACTTCAGGGTTTGGGCCTAGTCTTGGCTGCTGTTTCCTTTCTCTGCTCAGACTCCCAGGCCTGGCATTCAAGACTCTTTACAACATGGCCCTAATTGTTGTTGTTGTCAGGTGCCATCGAGTCAGTTCCAACTCATAGAGACCCTACGTACAACAGAACGAAACACTGCTGGGTCCTGCGCCATCCTCACAATTGTTACTATGTTTGAGCTCATTGTTGCAGCCACTGTGTCAGTCCATCTTGTCAAGGGTCTTCGTCTTTTTCACTGACCCTTTACCTTACCAAGTATGATGTCCTTCTCCAGGGACTGGTCCCTCTTTATAACTTGTCCAAAGTACTTGAGATGAAGTCTAACCATCCTAGCTTCCAAGGAGCACTCTGGCTGTGCTTCTTCCAAGGCAGATTTGTTTGTTCTTTGGCAGTCCATGGTATATTCAATATTCTTCGCCAACATCATAATTCAAAGGCATCAATTCTTTGATCTTCCATATTCATTGTCTAGCTTTAGCATGCATATGAGGCAATTGAAAATATCATAGCTTGGGTCAGGCACACCTTAGTCCTCAAAGTGACATTTTTGCTTTTCAACACTTTAAAGAGGTCTTTTGCAGCAGATTTACCCAATGCAATCTGTCGTTTGATTTCTTTTTTCCGAAGGAATATTTATTCACAAGGCATATAACAAATGCTTATCTAGCATGTAATTTTATGCCACTGCAGCTAAAGCAAAACCACCTGTTCAGCGGGTTAAAAGGACTTGCTTTCTGTGTATACGCTTCAGTGCAATTAAAAAATACTGTAATTATAATTTCAGAACCTCAGAATTTGAATAGGTAACAATGATTGCCTGTTTTAATATGGGAAAAGAAAACTCCTTTGAAAATCATTTGAAGCTCGGACAAAAATTCCATAGCTATATTCTTAGGATCACTCTGTAGAGTCTTCATGATTCAGACGACACAAAGGAAGCTTCAGTTCAACCTTTTAGAGAAGACATTCCAGCTTTCACGATCTCATCAACCAGGAGAATGCTGGTAGCAATCACAGTGCAGGAATGAAGAAGCTATTTCTTTACACAATAGTTATACCATATACCTGCTTGTGCTGTTACCATTGGCTTACCTGTGTTTGAGTCTACACCCACAAGTTGACCAGATTCTGAATATTCTGCTTGAACTTTTACTAGTGTTTCCTGAAGGTCAAAACAAGAGTCCTGAGCAAGAATCTTGGGAATAATGAGCAGCACATCAGCAAATGCTTGGCTCTGCCCTTGACACTGGGCTTGTATTTAATCAGAGCTTCTGCCATTGCCACTTCCACTGCATCAGCACCTGGAACCACACAGTCATCATCAATAGCATTTTTGACAGCTGTCAAGCCATCTCTTATCACGTCTTTGATTTGAGTGAGTGTGTGCTTATTTGGTCCTTTGACCAGTAGTGTAACAGAGAGAGGGTTATTGCATTTCTCAATGAAGGTGAACTTCTCTTCTCCCAATGTGTACTCATAAATGAGACCTGCATATCCTAAACAGTCAGGATTTAGGTCATCTAAAGAATTTAGAGCCACACCTCCAGAGACAAGGGTCAGCCTCTCCATATTTTTTCGTTTAGCTCTGTGTAGAGCTACTATGCCTTCTTTTGCAAGGGCATTTAAGGAAAAAGGGTCAATTCTCTTTTGATTAAAAATGAGAAAACCTTTATTTGAATCACCACAGACTTTCTTTTTCAGTTCTATTATTTTGTTAACTCTATCTTCAGTGAATTTTCTTTCAGCTTTTACAAATTTCTCTCTCTTTTCTGCACTCTTGTAAAAGAAGCCAGAGTTCACTTCTGTTTTTTCATATTCTAATGACACATTGCATGTGAGGATGCATGCATCTTCTACCCTTTTCTTCACATCAAGATGCCGTGCCCCATGGTCCAAAACGAGCCCTCTGATTAAGCTCGTATCAGTTTCAGATTTATGCTTCATCTCTATGATTTCAACCATGAAAAGGTCAATAGGTTCCTCTTATTTTTTAATGGCCAAAATGGAGTCAATTACAGGCTCTGTTAAGACATCAGCAAGTTCAGCATGAACTTTAGTATGCAGAGATGTTCTGGCCACATCTATTAGTGTTTGTCCATATCTTTGGTTACTTTGATCTGTTCCAAAAGTTGAAGAGCCTTTTCCTTTTCAGCTTCAAATCCTTCAGTTATTATTCTGGGATGCAGACCTTCAGAAATGTAGAGGTCTACCTGTTTCAGCAGCTCTCCCATGATCAGGACATTGAAAGTAGTACCATCACCAGTTATATCATTCTGGGCTGTTGCTACTTTTGCTATTAAGGTGGCTGTTGGGTGTTGAATTTGCATTTCATGAAGCAGCACATTGCCATCTTTAGTAAGCTTGATGTCTCCAGCACAAGAAACAAGCATCTTCATG